ACCTTCCTTTTCCTGGACCGGCTCTGCCCTGCTTTACTTATTGCTGGTTTTGCCTGCCTGGCATCTTGTGGCATCTCTCTATCAACCGTACCTCCACACACACACACACACACACACCGAGTCTGTGCTCTGATATCTGTGTCTGCAGAATCTCTCTCCCAAAGCCACTTCCAAATTGAACCCTAGACTTCTTTTCACATGATCCCTTTGTGGTATCTTTTTCACCGGACCTGTCTTTCCGCCTACCCAGACATGAGTGTCAAGTTTCAATCTCATCTTTTGGGTCAGCAGTTAAGAGGACTTGCTACTCTTATGAGGGATCCAGAACTGGTTCCCAGACCCCATATGGTGGCTCACAATCCAAGGGATCTAAAAACCTCTTCTGGCCTCCATGGGCACCAGACATGCACATAGTACACATGCATGCAGACAAACACTCATACACACAAAATAAATCTTTAATTCTCACCTTTGAAAATCATCCCCTGTTGCTGCTTCATACCTTTCTCCCTCTGCCTGGCTGAAAGGACACTAAAGGACACAATCACTCTCCAAACTGAGCTGGGGCTGTAGCTCAGTCAATAGAACGCTTGCCTAGCATGCATGATGCCCAGTGACTCATGAACTAGACAGAGTGGCACATGTCCCAGTTCTGGGGTGAGGGTGGGGAGTAGGAGCAGCAGGATCTGGAATTTAAAATCATCTTTAACTACATAGTTTGATGCCAGCCTGGGCTGGAGACCAGAGGCCATGCCTCAAAGCAGGCAAACAAAAGGATGAGAATACAAGGTCACCAAATCCAGTGTGTCTGTCGTATTATGTCCTGTTCTCCCGTCTGTCCCTACAGCCTCCACTAATATGTTATCGCCGGAAATCGTTGTCATGACCTCATACCGGCCTCCTCATTGGCTTTTGCTAGTCTGTTTTTCAGAACGGTGCCTTCTCTTACATTTTCGAGACAAACCTCCTATGTATCGCAGGCTTGCCCTGAACTCACCGTGGAGCCTAGTCTGGCCTCACACTCAGAGCTGTTCTCTCACCTCAGTTCCTGAGTGCTGGAGTTATACAGATGTGCATTACCATGCCTGGCCGAAAGGAGACTTTTACCATTGTCTGCTCCAGACCTCTCCACCCACCTTCTTTCCAAAGTCAGTGGCTAGCCTGCTGTGCACAGGACTCCTGTGGCCGGCTTCTCCATTTCCCGGCTGCCCTGTGCCTCACCAGGGACCCTCAGCCTTCCCATCTCTTAGCCTTAGGCTTCGCTCGTCACTCTGGATTTCCTTCACAGAAGTTTGCTGCTCTTCGTGGTCACTGAGCAAATGAGAAAATGACGCTACGCTTTGATCTTAACACTTGGTCTTGCCATTTTTCTGCCCTGCTGTTTGCACCAGACTAAGTCTGTTTTGCCTGGCAGGTCCCACAACAAACTGGGCAGCTCACGGTAGGCTCAGCGTTTTAATGAAGAACACAGACATCCTCTTTTATTACCCAGTGGCAACTTGGACCACCCACTGGTTGACCTCCCCCCATCCCTCCCTCTCTTCTCTTCCTTCCGCCCCTCCCGGCCCCAAATAGTCTACCACTAAGATACACCCCTGCCTCCTACCTGTTGCTTTCTGACTTTTCTTTTTCTTCTGATTTCTACCCATCCCCTCACTCCACCCCAGAATCTTCTGGTCCCTTTGTCTTCCCATTTCTTCCCAGGGGAACTTATCTCACACAAGCATCCTGAAAAGAGCTTACCAGGCTCTTAAGACTTGTAGGAAAAATCGGGATTTCACGGGCACACCCCTTCCAAAACACTTTAACCTGCCTGAAAGCCTGGCTGATCTTGTCTGCCCCCAACTTGTAGTTTATCATCTAAACAATGTGCTTTGGAATTCAGGTCGTATTCTTCCTGTAAGCCCAGGGAGATCCTGGGTGTAGATGTGGGTACCACCCTGACAAGGAGCACAACGATGCTCTTTGCTATGGATACTGCACCTGGATCTCTCTGCAGAATCCACACGATAACAGGCCAAGGTGTAGTCCGGGGAACTGTTTGTCTATACTGCACCTGGATCTCTCTG